TTGCCTACATGAAATAATGTAGTATATATTCTTTTCTTTGCTTTCTTGGGCTCAACATTATGTAAGGTTCATCCATGCTATAGTATATATTCATCCATATAGTTATGTCATTACTATAGAGCAATTAATTACACAATATTTCATTATTTTTAGCATTTAAAAATTTTTATAGCATTTTTGACATGCAGAATAAGAAAATTACCTTTCATGTAAATAAACCTTTTTTGTAATGGTTTCTGGATTTTGTGTTATACTTAGGAAGGCCTTTAGCACTCCAGGGTTATAAAATAAATCCTCCCATGTTTTCTTCTACTACTTTAATAATTTCATTTTTCAGATGTGAGGAATAAATCTGACTTTTTTTCCAAGATACTAACTTGTTATCCAAATACTCATTTAATCTTCGTGGGAAATTTTTACAGATGAAGAAACTGACACATGAAGACGTTCAGTCATTTTCTCCCCATCACAGAACTATTAACAATAAGCGGCAAAGCTGTGATTTGACTATGAGCTTTCCAGCCCTTCCTCCCACACAGTATCTTGAGTATGAGGTAAGGATTCAAAGGTTTGCAAGACTGAATTTGTTTACTTAGGAGTCTGATTATCACATAGTTGTTCAGTAGGAGCAGGGAATTTGACACTTCACCTTCATTCTCTCAGCCCTTCTCTGTGACCAAGAGGCCTCAAGCTTGAAATAAGGTTGTTTTTTTTTTTTTTCACTCAGCCCAGTGTTGGGTTTTCCCTTCCTGGACTCTTCTCATTAAACTGTTATCAGCTGTGTAAACAGTCCTAGGACATTTGTAAACAATTACAAAAGTGTTAAAAATTAAATTGAACTACTTTAAAAAATTGAGCAGGGTGTGTCTCAGAAGAGAAGGAATGTGAAACAGATTATAGCTGGAGGCCAGGATAAAGGGCAAGAGGCCTGAGATAGGTTTCCAGTTCTGTCACTGAGATCATATGACCCTGGGAGAGTGACTTTTTGGCTCATCCTTATGCAATAGCAATAATATGCAGCCCTTCAGTTTTCTTTAGTGTCCTGGCTTCTGCCTACAAATGGGAATTAAATGAAAAACAAAGATACCAAAAAAAAAGAAAAATTCTGTAAGGACAGGCCTCAGGCTGGAGAGTAAGCTAAATTCCTGGGAGAGTCATAGTCTAAATTTAGATACTGATATGCAGACCTTTCTTTCACGGGAGGTCTTCCAACTGTTTTATAACTTTAATTAAAAAAAAATTTTTTTTTTGGCCATTCTACATGGCTTGTGGGATCTTAGTTCCTGTCGGAGAAGGCAATGGCAACCCACTCCAGTGCTCTTGCCTGGAAAATCCCATGGACAGAGGAGCCTGGTAGGCTGCAGTCCATGGGGTCGCTAAGACACATGACTGAGCGACTTCACTTTCACTTTTCACTTTCATGCATTGGAGAAGGAAATGACAACCCACTCCAGTGTTCTTGCCTGGAGAATCCCAGGGACGGGGTAGCCTGGTNCAACCCACTCCAGTGTTCTTGCCTGGAGAATCCCAGGGACGGGGGAGCCTGGTGGGCTTGTGTCTATGGGGTCAGGCAGAGTCGGACACGACTGAAGTGACTTAGCAGTTTCCCAACCAGGGATTGAACCTATGCCCTCTGCATTGTAAGTACAGAGTCTTAACCACTAGACTGCCAGGGCAGTGCCTATATAACTTTAATTAATGTAGCCAAAAGATATTCTTTTGAAAGTAAACATTAAAAACATAATATATTTCAAAGTGTTCCAGTGAAGTTCATTAAAACAGTATAAGAATAAAAGTATTTCAGTCCACTCCAGATCTCTCACTTGCTACAGCCAAAATGTGGATGCATATATATTATATACGGGCTTCCCTGGAGGCTCAGACAGTGAAGAATCTGCTGGCAATGCAGGAGACCTGGGTGCAGTCCCTGGGTTGGGAAGATCCCCTGCAGAAGGGAATGGCTACTCATTTCAGTATTCTTGCCTGGAGAATCCCCATGGACAGAGGAGCCTGGTGGGCTACAGTCCATGGGGTCACAAAGGGTCTGACACGACTGAGTGACTAACACTTTCACTTTCATATGCAATATACATATATACCCCCTAGATATGTATCCCATATATACACACATACCCCCTACCCCTTACAAATGTTGACAAATCTGGTATGTGAAGAACACCACAGCTGTAGCACTTTCACATTTGTGGATAAGTGCTCTCAATGTACAAAATACAATTTCTTTTTTATTTTGAAAGAATATATGTTGTTGAGGACACTTGGATATCAATCAGTTGATCATTTTGGAGCAAAGTATTGGAGAACATAGAAAAATCAGTGTCAGTGGGAGTGTATGTCTCCGTAGTAAGGGATCCAGAGGCAGTGTGGGTGGCGGTGTGGGCATGGGTTTTAGAGCCATGAAAGCTATGGGTTCAGATGCTGCCTCTTCCACATCCAAGCTGTGTTACTTGCAGTGAAATTCAGAGCCTCAGGCTTTTAATTTTTATTAAAAAATTTCATACACTGAAGTTGAGTGTTTGTGGTATATAGCTTTCTGGGTTTTGACAAATGCATGCAAAGTTGTACATCTACCACTATAGTTATGGTACACACTGTTTCATCGTCCCAAAGATTCCCTTGTCCTGCCCCTTTGTAGTTAATACCACTTCCACCCCATCCCAGTCCTGCCCTACTAAACTCCTAGAACCATGGAATCTGGTGGGCTGCATCTTGCAAGCCTGCAAGCCTTGTACGTGCCCACTCTCAAGACCAAAGAAAGAGTCCGGAGTCAGCAAAACATCATAGGTTTAATGCAAGGGGGATCTTATGTGCCTGAGCGGCAGGACATGGCACTAGTCTTCGATATTGGGGTGGTGGGGAGTACAGGGAGGGAATGGTTCCCCTGCCATAGGGGGAATTGACTTTCAGTTGGTTCATCTTATCAGGGAAACCAGTAGAGGAGCATGCCCGCTATCTCCCCTTTGATAAACTATCTTAGTGGTGAGGTTCTGATCGAGAGATGAGAACAATTGCTAGCTGGGCCCCGGGACAAGTATGCAGGTATTTACTGATCAAGTCAACGATTAAGAGGGGAGGCCAGTCACGTGAGTAGGGTGTGGGTTTGACAGGGACTGGTCAAGCAGGGGATGTACTGTACAGACAGCAAGAGAACAATCATCTTGATTTGTCATGTATATCGTGTATGACTTCTTTTGGGTCTCATTTATTTCACATAGTGAAACTTAAGGAAAACCATTCAGGCTGTTACGAGCATCAGTGCTCTGTCCTTTAGATGTCAGAGTAGTATTCCACGGTAAGAAGGTACTACAGTTTGTTTATCCCTTCACTGACTGAAGGACATCTACATTTTGATAATTTGTTGGGTATTCCCTTATAATACCTGTAGAATCTGTGGTGATAAGCACTCTTTAACTCCTTATATTGATAACCAGTATTTTCCTTTCTGGACTCTTCATGAGTCTTACTAGGGGCTTACCAGTGTTACTAATCATTTTTAAGAACCAAATTTTAGTTTTGTTGTTTTCTTCTTTATTGTGTTATATTTCATTAATTCATTTTGCTCAGTATCTTTTATTTCAATCCTTTTACTCACTTCGATTTTAATTTCTTCTTTTACAAACTTCTTAAGGTGGAAGTGTAGATTATTTCCAATCTTTTTTCCTTTCTAATAAAATCACCTAATACTGTTACTTTTCTTTTAAGCACTGCGATACCTGAACCTCACAAATTTTGGTAAGCTTTGTTCTCATTTTCATTTTTCTAAAATATTTTCTAATTTCCCTTGTGGTTTTTACTTTGGCCCATCAACTATTTCGATGTGCACAGCATAATTTCCAAACATTTGGGGATTTTTCTAGATATCTCTGCTACAGACTTCTAATTTACTTTGTGATCTGAGAACACACTATATGATATTAATCCTTTGAAACTGAAATCTGTATTATGACTTAGCACATGGTCTATCTTGGTGACTGGTCCACATGTATCCAAAAAGAACATGTATTTTGCAGTTTTCCCATCTTTTCAAAAAAAGATAAGGCAAAGTTACCTGACCCAACTTTTCCACATTGTTACCAATTTTTTTGTCTACTTGTTCTGTCAAGGACTGGGAAAGGTCACCAAGGACCTGGCACTTAGAATGATAAAGATTTTTGAAGATGTGAAAATACACCATTTCAGAAATTTATATATTTTAATACATATATTCGTTGTTGTTCAGTTGCTAAGTCGTGTCCGACTCTTTGCGACGTCATGGATGGAAGCATGCCAGGCTCCTCTCCCCCCACTATCTCCTGGTGTTTGCTCAAATTCACGATATATATTACATATGTATGTATGTGGGGGCTTCCCGGGTAGCTCAGCTGGTAAAGAATCCATCTGCAATGTAGGAGGCNTCTGGGAAGCAGCAGGAATACGAGATACCGAAGACAGAAAATGCAAACCACAAATACTGAACAAAAGTACACTGTCAATCACAGTCTCCGGCAGGTCCCCCGGATCCCCTCTTCTCACACCCACACAACAGGTGCGTTGCGGCGGGACAGTCAGCCTCGCGGTCCTCGAGAGAAGCAGCACCCTGCCCACCTGACTTCGCAGCACCGCAGCCCGGGTGAGTGTCAGTGTAGGGCTCACCCCGCGCCTGGGCTCCGAGGGAAGGTCCACGCGCGACGAGCGTGGGCAGCGCGGAGTCCCGCACCTTCCGGGAGCGACCCCGCAGCGCGCATGCGCGGGCCGGACTTCCAGCTTGTCCCCTCCAGCGCCCGGTAGCGCTTCCTCGCCGAACTCCACGTAGGCCGCGCAGGCGCCTTGTTCCCACTGCTCACCTGCTGCCGTTGTCGCCGCCGCCGCCGCCGCCGCCGGGGCTGGATGGGGGGCCGAGGCCAACCGGTGGCACCCAGAAGAGAGAGACGCGGCGGCGGCGACGCCGACACCCGCAGGACGAGTGTCTCGACCGGCCCGCGAGCCCCAGGAGGAGGCGGCGAGGCCCGGCCCCCGCGGTCTGTGGTGTAGAGAAGCCGCCGCGGCCGGGTCTCTCTGAGCGCTCGCCCCACAGGTCTCATCCACCTCAGAACCCCGCGTTGCGCGATGTTCAAGAAACTGAAGCAGAAGATCAGCGAGGAGCAGCAGCAGCTCCAGCAGGCGCTGGCCTCTTCTCAGGTACTATGGCTGCCGCGCTCCCCTGGTTCCCGAGAACCCTTGACATCAGCTCGCGGGCAGAGGGGTGCGGAGGTCCAGCCCCGACCCTTGACTTCCAGCCAGAGGCTTCCCCCAGATCCCTCCCTGGGAATGAGCTCAGGGCGGTCCTGGTCCTCCGTGGGTCCTGACCCGGGTCCCGCATCCCAGAAGTCCGTTCTGAAGAGTAGGTTGGGGGTGGTTGGGTTCGTGACACCTGACCTCTTAATTTACCCGATGCCCAACCTGGTCTGAGAATAAGTGAGCAGAGCTCTGATCTTGCATGGTTTTTGACCCATACAGAAGGTTTCCCCCAGGCATCCGACACCCCCAACTCAGGAGTGAGGGCGGAATGGGAAAACCAGGACCCCTTGTAATATCTGACCTTTGGACCGAAGTCCCCCCCTCTCATCCCCGACCCGAGACTGAGTACGGAGGGGCCCCTGGCCCGTGACGGAGTCTTAATTCCAAACCCGGGTCCAGGCCTGAGGGCCAGGGGTCGAGCCATTCCTGGCCAGCCTGCTTGCAGAAGCGCTGGACCCGAGAGAGGTGGCGGCGTGGCCGGCGTCCAGTGCCCGAGGCTGTCACGAGTTCGCCACTTCGCATAACTGGGTTGATCCGGGACGGGCGGAGGGGCGGCCACTGTGGGGCCCGGCAGGGCTCGCGCGCGTCCGCAGCTCGGCTCTGCTCCTTCAGAAGTCTTGTTAATGTTTGTGTTTCACGAATGCGGTTGCTTCAGGAAATGACAATTTCCAGGAAAAGGGAGGCGCGTTAGTAGTGTTAATTTAAAGAAGCAGAAACAGTCTCCTAAGCAGCTGTGAATGTGTGTTTTGGTGCCGGCAGCACGTGGTTCTTTGAGCAATGAGGAGGGCTTCTGCTAAATTGCTTCCCAGCTTGTCTGAGTCTCAACAGATTTAATTTTAGAGTGTCTACACGAAAAGCTGGCTTTTGACTACTTGGCAGGCATTTCTAAAACATTTTAAACATAACATTTATCTTACACAACTCTTAAAAATCTAATGACCAATAACTACTAAATCAAGCATCTATCGCATTGAATTTATTCTGAAACTGTAAATTGAAGTTTATTTAAAGCTTCTGTAGAGTGAAACAGTGGTTGAAATATATTAGAATATGGCACTGAAAGCTTGTTCATTCTCCCAAGGGAATTGTAAACAGTGATTAAGATTTGGATACTAAATATATTACTTTCAATACTAAATATATTACATTTACTGTGAGCTTTTAAAATTTTACAGAACACTGTTAATTTAAGAAAGAAAGGGTAACGATAACCCTATATGCAAAACAGAAAAAGAGACTCAGATGTATAGAACAGACTTGTGGACTCTGGGAGAAGGCGAGGGTGGGATGTTTCAANGGTATGCTCCAAGCTGCTGGCTTTTTATTTGTAAATGTTATCTTTTTTTCGTGAAAAAGAATTACTATTGATCTTTAACAAAGGGAGGTTGTCTTTTGTTGTTGTTCGGTTGCCAAGTCCTGTCCCACTTGTTTGCGTCCCCGTGGACTGAGCTTGCCAGGCTTCTCTGTCCATGGGATTTTTCAGGCAAGAATACTGGAGTGAGCTGTCTTTTCCTTCTCCAGGGGATCTTCCCAACTCAGGGATTGAATCTGTGTCTGCTGTTTTGGCAGGCGGATTCTTTACCTTCTGAACCACTTGGGAAACCTGAGGTTGTCTTTAGAATCATGGTAAAAGAGCTAGTTACAGGTAATGCATTAGGGCTCCCAGTTCCTATGGCTTGATGCCTCTGGGAAGACAGTGCATGTGGAGCAAGAAATAGCACTTTGTGTACACAAGATTTAAAACAATCCTTTTTGATGACTATATAGTATATATATATATATATACTATATAGTAACTATATATATGTGTATATATAGTGGATATATGTATATATTTATCCAGAATGCAAAAGTAAATTGTTGGTGATCAATTGCTGATAGAAACTTGATTCTCTTCCTTGTCTTGATCCTTAACTATTCAGAACCCTTCAAGTTGAGAAATTCTGGATTATTATTTTTAGAGTTAAGAATTTCTTTCAAGTATGAATTAAGCAAAACAAATATCTTTGGATGGGATAATCATTTTGTAACATAAAACATGTCCTTGTTTTATCATGCAGAGGATCTTGAATTTGTATAATATTACGTCTTGTTTTTCGAATATAAATTATTTTGTGTTGAGGGTGCAATACCCTTAGGAATTTAATGGGATGTGAAAGACAGTTTGCTTTTACTTGCTCAGGAGGATTTGTTTGTCCTTGGTTTAGTTTTCCTGATTACTTTGTAGCCTCCCTTGTTATCTGCCCAATGTCTGTCTTCTCTCAGGCTTTAAATTGCTTTGGGCTTTAAATCAAGACAGGACCCTGAATTTCTAAAATTTTGTGTAAAATAAGGGCAAGTACCTAAGGGATTCTTTAATGCGTTTTAGTGCATTAATACAAATTGAGACATTTGTTTGCGATTTTGGGAGGCCCTTGTGTACATATTTCCTGGTCCTTAGCTTGATTTCCAGAGGTGAAATTGCTTGACAGATATGTTTCAAATAGAGTGAGTCATCAGGTGTTGATAATTCTGGGATAAATGATCACAATACTTGCAAAAGTTTTCAGTAATAGTAATAACGGTAGTGTTTGTGATATTAATACTTTGGGGTTTCTTCAGTTTTTGAAAGCATTCAATAAAAGCAAGACACTGTTTTCTAGTCCCTGGTCACTTCTCTTTGGAGCTGAGATTATTTGAGCCCTTCTTTGGCAAATATTATTTTAAGTAAACATTTGGTCAACTCTGACTTTAAAAATAAAATTAAACAATTTCAAAGCAAGTTTCACTTAATTTTCTAACAACAAATATCTATACTTAGATATTTAAAATCCTTAGAATAAATTTGATAAAAATTATTCAAGAGTAATATAGGATACTTTCTAATTTCTTAGGATGTATATAGTGCTGTGAATAAAAAATATTTTTTAACATTTGCAACCCTTTTCAGATATTACTAAAACTTAAAAATTATAAAAAGCACTGGCACAAATGGACTATTACATGATTCCACTTGTGTGAGGTACCTAGATTAGTCAAGGTTATAGAGGCAAAAAATAGAACAGTGGTTGTCTGTGGCTGAAAAGAGGAGGGGGAAATGAGGAATTATCGTTTAATGAGGATAGAGTTTCAGTGGGAGGATAAAGAAGTTCTGGAGATGGATAGTGGTGATGGTTGCCCAACAGTATGAATATAATTAATATCACTGAACTGTCCACCTACAAATGTTTAAAATGGTAACTTTAATGTTGCATATACTTTACCACAATAATAAAACAAAACAATGTGGGCTCACCCCAAATTTGTAGGATTATAATTTTTTAGAGTGGGGTCTCAAAATAATAGTTTGTGTAATAGGAATAAAAAGAAATTTCACAAACAGGGGAAAGAGTCTCTTTCTGAAGGAACATAATTTTGTTATAAACATTAACTTGGCAAAATAATTTTCCTCAATCTAAAAAGCATAGCTCCCAGAGAGAAACATTTAGATCAGAAGAATCAGAATGTCTTGAGTGTTTATAAATCTGTGTTTTGATTAGGGAGCATATAGTAGCTATTTCTATTGCTTAATATAGAATATACATTAAGTTCTTGCATTTTAAGTAATAGACAGGTCTTGTTTATGTGATTTAAAAAATCTGTGTGAAACTTGAACAGGTAAGGGCCGTACAAAGTTCTTTCATCTGCCTGTTAGTTTGGGAGGAAAAACTTCTGAGAGAAGCTTTATCTCTTGAGCTTATTGTGATATTCAGAGACCTTAAGATGTATTTGCAAATTATATATAACTTTACATCCCACCGAAGCTGTGAGCAAATTCAGAGGCATCCTCCTGGGCCCAGGTGAGAAAGCAAGGCTGGAAACTTTGATGTAGAACTTCAGTTAATGTGTTGATAAACTAACCATTTAGTTTCTTTACCTCCTAAATCACAAAATATTAGGAAGATGTTTTCATTTACGTGAACATTTACTTGACTAGTTATAAAATTCTGTGTTGAAAAATTTCCCTCAGGCTGTTGGCTTTATTTCTCGCTTATCTTCCAGCATCCTGTGTGCAAATGAAAAATCTAATTCAAACTTGTTCTTTGCTGTATTGGTGGTTAACTTGATCCTTGAATCTTTTCTTTTTCCTTGATGCTAAAAAATTTCTAGTTTTCTTCTTTGCTTTTTTTTTTGTCTCCCCCTTTTCTTTCTTTTTTAAATCTTATTAATCTTTTTTAAAATAAATTCTCTGTATATCCTTTCCCCCTCTTTTGATATATTCCTCTTTTCCCTTTATTCTATTGCTTTGAAAGATTTCAGATTTTTATTTCAACTGCTTCTATTGAATTTATTCTAGTCGTCACATTTAATTTCCACAAATTAACACTAGTCAACCCTGGGTAGTTATTTTTACCTAAGTGTTTTCTTGGTGCATTGCATGTATTATCTAAAGTAATACATGAAATAATAAAAGGTATGGATTTGTATTAACCTTATTTTACAGATAAGAAATTGAGGCCAAGGGAGGTTAAATAACTTGTGCGTGTAGGCAGCTAGTACCGTACAACTCAGTAATAAAGCTGAGATGTGAACCCAGGCAGTCTTGCTCTGAAGCCCATTCTCTTAACCCCACGGTACTTTTAGTTTTTTTTTTTTTTAGCAACAGCTTTTGGTTTAATGGAAGCTAGAGCTTCTCAAAACTCTCCCAGGATGTTAGGTATTCTATATACATACATATTTAAAGTCTGTTCCTTGATTTATCAGATTGTTCTAGGTTGTTATATGTATTCATACTGGTCATATTGTTTTTCTTTTTTTGAGAAAAATGTCTTGTTGTTATTAGTTCATTTATATTTATGAAGACCAGGTGGGTGATTTATTATCCAAACATTCTTAATGAATGGGGACACTGGTAATTATCTTGAAACTTAAACTGACGTGGA